TGCTTTATACAAATACAAAACCGAAAGTAATGAACCGGACGCGGTACGGAATTCAGGAACCCGCACATAACATCGGTAAAACTAGCACAAACTATTTATTTAATAACTCAAATAGCGTATACATAAACATAATACATTGAATTTAAATACACACAAATTTAACAGCGTGCTACATAAAGTCATTGGGCGGAACACTTCAGCAACTATGTTTTAAACAATTCTGCTAGAGAGCGACATAGGCCTAACACCGGCTCAACACTGCTGTAGTTCGGATGGGCCACAAAAGTTACCATGGTCAATCAATTGACGTTATACCATGTTTATGCGAAAATGGACAAATTGTCATTGTGGTACATTCAATATGAGTAGATTCCGATACATCGCACAACACATGTCAAGCAAACTTTAAACGCGATTGTTCAATCAAACTTCCTGGTATCTGGTATGATAAACAAGGAAGTTCTGTTGTTCAGGCTTTGTGGATGTCCATGTCTACGCCATGTTTATTCCTACATTATGGATAATTATAGCGATGCATATCGCCGTGAGAGGTGAGTGAGATCTTTATATTCAAATTAACAGATTCAATCGATGTTTACTCGTCTTTAATAGCATACCAATACCCATCTATTAATAGAATTTACTGAGGTAGTATTTTCACACGGCCACGGCAATGTGAAGCATTACACTATTTTCTTACTAATTAACTCTTTTCATCATTTTCTTTTGCTATTCATCCTGATTTAATCATATAAAAACATAAATAACAAAAAGTAGGTCTGGGATGGGGACATTTAGGGTGGGATATTCTCCCTGTCTTCACAACACCATGCTACACTGGTAAAAGGACATGGGAAAGAATCTGATTGCTGCACAACTCAGATATACATTTCACAGACATTCATAAAAAAGTACTTCATTGAAAGCCCACTCAGTGTATGGTGAGAGTGTGGTGGTTTGTATGTAGCCTGTGGAAACTGAAATGAAATTCTGGAAAAATAAAACACAGGTAGGAAATATTTGCAGAGTATTGATATGATGTAGAAAGAACAGAAGTATTACCATGTTTCTTACTTGAATAAGGATTCTTCTGTTAGAGTGATCAAACCAGTAAAACTACCCTGTATGTATGCAGCATCATCAACTAAGTGCAAGGTGTGTTTCTTACTGAACTTTAAACATTTTTATATGGTACATTGTTACAGATACAAGTAACTTATTAATGAATACAACAGAATACATTCTCTAGTTTATAATGAAGTCATTAAATCTATACTTAAGACACATATTTATGTGTAACTTTAACTAATTTAAGTTTAGACTGTTTTACATTACAAATAACCGTATATCTTTCAGCTTACAGCTGAGTTTTTTTAAATATAAAAACAGTGTCAGGAACTACTCATTATGTACATTCAAATAACATAAACATGGTTTTACAAATAATAATAAACAATGTATAAAACATTTAGACTATAAAACAAAAACAAATACCCACTGGTATGTAAAGTTAAGGCCATCTAGGTCTCCATGGGGTGTCTCCCAACTGACCAGGCCCTACAGCAAGAGGGAGCTGACCCAGCATGACCTTCCTAACTACTATATACACTGCCACACTTCACACAAAACATTCAATATCTGTGTTATAATTATTACATTATAGGGGATTTTTCTCTTCACAATATCAAGTTAATAATCTGACATACAAATTTATAATCTAGATTTGATCTAGATATGACAATGTTCAACAGGAAGTGACAAAATGTGAAAAAATGAGACTATGACTAAAGAGACAAATGTGACAGAAATGATAATTGTAATTTTACCACTGCAACTAATTGAACAACGCAGTATGACTTACCATTCACCATAATCAACCATTCAGTCAACTATCTAATCATGTAATTAATTTACTAACAGGTGACACATAGTGGCAATAGGTCACAAAACATGATGTCACTACCATTTAACCAGAGTTACTATGACCTCTGTAAATCATAAATGACAATATAACAAAACATACTCATGTATAATCTGACCTAAGACTAGAAGTGATTAAAAGTCTGAGTGTATCAAGGGAAATAACTGGAATGACTCGACATGCATTCATAACACTGGAAGACATGACGTAAGTTTATCACTACATGAGATTTGAAATCAATAAAATACAAGAATCTATGGTCAGCATAGCCAAATACAGACTGCAAATATGCAACTTACATAATATATAACATAGATCTAGTTTACATGAATACTATTAACAATTACGAATTTCCATCACAGATAATCAGACCATGCTGTGGTGAAACTTCCAAAGCAAACATGCCATTTTCATTGACACTACATCATTAGATACTGTATGACAACTAAAAAAAAATATGACTTGAGATCCAACGACACCTTAGCATCTTTTTGGACAAACAAGAATCCTTAATTCATCGAATACTCATCCAAACTTACCTGAAACACTGGAGGCATATGTTTGGTTATCAACAGTTTATTAACATGACATAGAAAGGATGTCATCATCCTCTTGTCCATTAGGTTACAAACCACTAATTATCAAATAACCATTTATAAAACAAAATGCTACCCTCCCAAAAACTGATAACTTCTTCCTGTCACACACTCCTCCATGTTAACAAACCTTGTCCTTAACATTAGAGATACAAATTCAGACATTACAATAAGATACAAAATACAAATCATGCAATGTTAAATTCAATCCATTGGTTGGAACACAGGGATAGCGAGAATATTTTCCTTGTCGGTCCAATGAATCTGAACTGGTAATTAGAGACAAGCAAATGGCCAGTTTTCTTAATCACTGCACTATATGCAACAACCTGGATTTCACTATCCAGTAATGTTACACATTGTGAACTTTGTAACATTTTTGGTTATCAGTTTTCATGCTAAACATCGTGTATTACACCAGAGAGGAATTCTACAATACAAAGTCACACCAATGAAACATAACAGTACAACAAAGCGTTGTGTTCTCTGAGATAATCACACAGCTTTTTCTATCAGGCACTACATGATGGTTTCCCATGATAATCATATGTCATTCTCTGTGGTGGTTCACATACTCTTCTTGCACTGACTGTTTCTTGATGGATGATAAGGTTTGGTCCTGGAATGAGCAACACCAGTGTATTTTTGAAGATAGTAGAACAGATAATTTTTAAATTCTCTACCTTGATCATGATGTATTCTGCCTGGAAAACCAAATCGTCAAACAAAAGTTTTGAATATAGGATCAGCTGCAGTCTTGGCACTCTTATTTCTTGTAGGGTAAACTTGTACAAAACTTATATAATGATCCACAATCACGAGAATGTACTCATATCTCCCTTGGGGTGCTTAAATGCATGTTATCAATGGATATCAGTTGAAAATTGCAATTGGTATGATGAGGTTTTAACTCTGCCGTTCTATGACAATGGACCTCTACCGAACATAATTGGCCAATGGCCTGAGCCATTCCAGGCCAATAAAACCTGTCTCTGGCTAAGGCAATCACCAAATTTCTGCCAACATGTTCCATATTCTCATGCAGTTCTTGGTAGACAACTAACCAAAGACATTCTGGGAGACAAATCTGTGCAACCTGATGTCCATTAGACAACTTGCAGAAACAAAACATTAGTCCCTCATCTAAACTTTATAGGTCCCAGTTACGTAGCCATAACTTTACCTTCTGGTCCAGCTGTTACTGTTGTTTCTGATCAGGGCTTTTGACTGTCCTTCAACAGACATCTATTGGCACTGTCCTTTCCTTATGCCATGATCAATTCCTTCCTGGTCATTTGTGAGACAATCTCTTCACAATCCTCAAGGACACAGAGGAAATACTTGCTAACCAGCCCATAATGACTGAACTGCTCTGGATTACCTGTGTCAAAACTTTAAGTTCATCCACGCTAGAGGTCTTGGAACATTCCTGTGCATACTCTTCAATGTCTGCAGGAAATCTGGACAAAGTATATGTAGATGCGTTACCAATTCCTGGCTTGTAAAATATCTTGAACCAATATTCTGCCAACTTGAGGTTATTATCAGTGTACACTTTAAAACAAGGTGCATAATTGGAAAAATCATGGAATCTTCCAGTAACTGCCCAACACAGAGCTAGGAATTCTAACTTGCTAGAGTGATAGTTCTTCTCTGCTGGAGTAAGAATCCTTGATTCATAAGCAACGCCAGCCAATTTACTGTTGTGCTGCTTCTGATAAAGAATTGCACCTAAACCAACCAATGAGGCATCACAGTAAACCACATATGGTCTTCGAAAATCTGGAAAAGCCATGATTGGTGCTCTTGAAAAAGCAATCAATCAGGTCTTCTAAAACTCCTTGTCGATGTCTGATCTCCTGTTAAGATGGCTTCTGACCACCTTTCTTCTTAATAGTTGACTTAACTGATTCCCCTTCTTTACCCTTAAACAAATCATAGAGTGGTTTTGCATGCCGGCTGAAGTCTGATATGTACTTCCTTTAGTATCCCAACAAACCTAACATCTTCTTCAAATCACCAATGTTTGCTGGTTTGTTTTCTTTCAGCCTACTTATTGCGTGAATATCTGTCTTGTCTACTTGGCAACCCTCAACCGAGATCATCTGACTAAAAAATCTCACAAAAAAATTCCTCACGCTGAAAACAACATACATTTAGCCGGTTTAAGCTTCATTCTGTTTTTCCTTAGCGTTTGAAGTACTCGATGAACGTCTTCTATGTGTTGATCTCAATTTTTACTCAATACCAGAATGTCATCGAGGTATGGGATACAGATTTCGTCATGCAAATCAGACAAGGTTTCTCACATTTACTCCTGGAATGCACTCGGTGCCCTTGTCAAACTAAAAGGAATCCTCAATCACTCATATAGGCTCCATGGTGTTAAAAATGTGGTTTTGAGAATTGAACTTTCATCCAAAAACCCTTGATGATATGCTTTGCCTTGATCTAAACATGAAAACCAGGAATGTTTGCCAAGAATGTTCAAGGCATCATGTATTCTGGGAATCTCTAAAGCTTTGGGAACTTTGGGACAGAACAGTTTCATGTGTAAAGATACCTGTTTGAATGTTAGTGATCATGTGATGTCCACTAACATTGCGAATAGGCAGAAGACGGATGTTGATCCAGATGGTCCTCCCAAAGCTTCAGAGATTTCTCAGCCATCTGGGTGAACTTGGTCACCGTCAGGTCTAAACAACACAAGCTGTCTTGTAACCTGTGAGAGGACCTTGCCCTTTACCATCCTGGTAGTTCCCTTTGGTATCATGATCTTGTCACTTACCTCCACTAGACCATTATCCTTCCTTTGAAGTATGGACAATTCCTCTGTATCTACATTGGTATCATTGAAAAGTTCAGCAACTTTGTTATACAAGGAAAATTCTAAAATTACAACTCTGTAATATCCCTTACCTATTTAACAGGCAAATTGCTTCTTAGTCAATCAACCCCCAATTTGTTAATTTGAGCCTCGGTGTCTCAAAGTACCTCAACATCTTTATCATCAAACTTAACAGAGACAATACATTTCTTCCCAACAAACTGACTAATTCACTCATAATCATTCATACTTATTCCATACACAGTACGCTGTAATTTCTGTTTAGCAACCTCATGCTCACTATTTTCATTCAATTACCATATGGATTTACTTTGTACAACAAATCCACTACATGCATTTACAAACACATTTTGTGAAATGTTCAAATTTCAAACAAACTTTGTCATAAAAGCTGTGTGTATTAAGGATTAAATATGTTTTTGAAAATTACTTTTTAATGCCATCAATTTTAAGATGATTAAATAAAGGAAATTACCAACATGTCAACATAATCATAATCCAAACTCAAATTCCATAAAACTAGGCCAAAATGTGAACAAAAGAAACATGAATTTGTGTGAAGAAGTCTATATCGTTATCCACGTTTGAGAAAATCATGTTTATTCTGATCAGGTCAGACCATCACACCAGTATATATCCAGATTAACACCCCTGTCACATTGACCTGTCCGGCTGATGACCAGGCAACAAACCTCAATTGGACGGGACCTGGAGATACCCTGTATGTCACAGGAACTACAGCTGAAGCTGTTGTTGATGAGCAGGGTAAACCACGGATATCTGCGAGTCACATAGGGGGGAGTTATAGACTCACATTTACAGAGTTCCAGTCGCGTGACATCGGGATATATAGATGTATGGTTGACGGGACAGTGGCTCTACAGATGGTCATTGTACAAGGTATGTATACGGATGTGTCACACAAGAAAAATTCAGTCCAGGGACACTGGGATATATACATATACAGTGGGGCTACATATGGCCATTGTACAACGTATGTATATGAGTGTCACACAGGAAATTTTAGTCCTGGGACAATGGGATATATATATGTACTGTGGACAGATCAGCCCCATATGTATGACAGCATGTTACATCTGGGAATGCACAATGTGATATGATGGATGCTATAAACGCCAGCAATATTTTACACCAGAATTCTGTTCAAGCTAATATCGCACAATACATTCAAAGGAAAAACACTCTTGTAATTTCCTACAGTTACCCCGAGCCCATTGCATCCAAATGTAAATGATGTTAGAACTTGTCCTCCGTCAGCTTGTTCTTGTTCTACCTCTACTTGTAACTATGGTCCAACTTGGCACATAGTAACTGGTTATTTAAACATTATTCAAAATGTTATGTTATGACAGCTTTTCATAAAGGGTCCTAAATATCATGAACCCCGGTCCTTAATTGGAATGTGAATTTCGAAATTCTTATGGATTCCGATGAAAACTATCCTAGAGAATGAGTGAAACGAGAGCATGCGGTGTTGAACTCACTTGTGAGTTAAAATAATTTGGTCTGTCATACAGAAAAGAATTAGCAGCTTGAAATCTTAAATGAAAACAAGAGGCTCAAGGGGCCTGCATCGCTCACCTAACTAGTTTTTCAGTCATTTAATAGAGACTTTCAATGTGACAAATAATTTCTGATATAATTTCCCAGTTGGATCCTGCCCATGTGGTCAAACAGAAATCAGATTCACTATTCATAACAATTGCTTCAGACCAAACTTGAACAATACCTTTGTATGGCAGAAGGGCTTGTAAGAACGAACATTTCCCAAATTGGATCTACCTCTCCCGCCCAAGGGACCTTATGGAAGAGTAGAAATAATGTTTGCAAAATGTCCCTTTTTGGGCCCATACTTTAGACCCTGAAAATCATTCCTTACTTCCTTACACAAACTTGGTGTCCCTTCATCCAAAGATACATCTGACCAAATTGGAGCAAAATCGTTCCTACTGGAGGATTAGGATTTCAAAGAATTTACTTTATTTCCCCCTATTGGGCCAAGCCCCTCCTGCCTCACAATGCCAAGGACTACTGCTTCTACAAAAATGATCCCCATTCTGCCAACAATGCTCCAGACCAAGGTTTTGCTATAATCCAATCATTCTTACAAGAAGAGTAGGATTTTAAAGAATTTGCTTCATTTCCCTTTACTGGGCCCACCCTGTTCTGCCCCATAGTGCCAATTAAGCCATTGGCAAAATCTAGGAAGTGATTCCCCTGCACCAATGAATGCTTCACACCAAATGTGGGCAATTCAATTATTCTTGCAGGAGAAATTGCTCTTTTTACCTTTTAGACCCAGGCCCTCCCATCCCAAGTGTGTTAGACCTAACACTACTCAAGATTGATTTCCTTCCATCCAAGAATACTTTAGACCAAATTTCATTCTGCCATTCCTACAAGAGGAGTAGGGGGTTTTAGAATTTACTCTAATTCCCTTATATGGCCCTGCCCCTCCCACTCCAGGGAGGCTTTTAGTTGATAAAAGATTGATTCCATTTCACCTAAGAATCCTTCAGACCAAATTCAGGTTATATCAATTTATTTCTTAAGGAATAAAATTATTTAGAAGAATTAATTCTATTTCCCCAAGTAGACCCCATCCTTCCGCCCCAGGGGCAGAGACCTTCTATTTACATAAGACTGATTCCGATATAGGTTTTAGGGCAAATTAAGGCAATATCCATTCATTCCTACAGAAGGTGAAGGATTTTAAAGAATTTAATGTAATTTTCCTTCTTTCGTCCTGCTCCTCAAGGCCCCAAGTGGTCGAGGCCTAACTTTTATATAAGATTGATTTTCCTTCACACAAGCATGCTTCAGACCACATTTTGGTAATGTCTCTTTATTTCTACAGAAGGAGTAGGATATTAAAGAACTTGTGGCATTTCCCCTGTTGCGCCCCAGTCCTCTGGACCATGTGGTTGGTTGGTTGACAGGGTGTCCGTCTCCAAAACTCTTCCCATGTAAGGGTATTGTCTCACCGGTGAGCATCAGTGGTCTGACGACGTGAGCAGGTGACCTGTATCTCCCCTCAGTAGATAGAAACTGTCTGTAGTGGTGATTGGTTGATTATACTAGTTTCTGTAGATGGTTCCAGGGCCTGATATAATGCCTTATCTTAACTCTAGCGTTTGAAACGTGTCCAGAAGTTGAAAGGAAGAGTTGAGAGTTGCGGGCCTTTCTAGATTTGGTTTCTGTTATAGTAATTTTGAAGTCCGTCAAATGCCTTAAAATAATTGTATAAATTAACACTATCCCATGACCCCTGGAAGGATGTTTTCACGCCTACTCTTTTTACGAAAAGCCGCAGAGGGATCTTTAGCATGCGAAAGTGGAAGAACTCGTATGGTCCACCAAACTATGATTGGTGGTTAGTGGATAGATCGTTGCAGGTGTAATTATAACAAATAATTTATTTTGGGATTGTCACATCTTTAAACCTTTCCAATCATACCGACTAAGGTACTTGATCACTTAACAAATGTCTATTGCTTTCTGATAATCCTCTCCATTCCGGCTGCATACGTCTGACTTTTTACAAGTATATATGAGATTTGTGTGAATGTACTGATTTAGAAGGGTTATGAGAGATTATGGCAATATAAGTTAAGTTTCAGATAACCTAGAATTTAACTAATATCAACAATTTCAAAAAAGGTCTTTAGACTTGTGGCATGTTGTGAGAAGACAGAAGGTCAATGCAGTCCAATAAAAATGTTTAACGGTGAATGGCTCATCACATCCTATGCATTGAATTTTATCTTTGCCTTTCAACATATGAATGTGCAAGGTATGTATGGCCAATGTGAAGACGGGAAAGGATAATTTCATCTCTGTGGTTGTTTCTATAGCCTGGAGACCATTCACCGATAACAGGTTTAACAGAGTGCAATTTGTTATTGGTAAAGGTATTCCATTCCTCCTGCCACTGAGCTTTTTAAATTTGTTTAATAAATGGTTTAAAATCAGTAAAATGAAGTTTAAAAACAACAGGTGGTATGGATAAAGCTTCCATTGAGGCACAATCTGCTTTTCATTGCCTTGTATTCCCATGTGCCCTGGAACTCAGTAAAAAGCAATTTGAAAGTTAAAGGCAAGTTCATAATATAGTATTAATGTATTACAAATTTAAATATAATTTTGATATTTCTATTACTAAGACTTTGTAGTACAGAAAGAGAGTCTGAATGGATTATAGTTCTCATTTCTTTGTTTGTTTGAACATCTTCAAGGGTGAGGTAGATAGCTTGAACTTCCACCGAGAATATTGACCCATTGTGAAACCATGGTCTCGGCAACTTTATAATTATCTTTTGAAACATCTGTATATAAATGTAGAAATGTTTCATATTTTACTGCAATTTCGAGAAGGTGAATGAAAGGTGTAACTGTCTGTCTCTGATTTAACCATTTCATGAAGTGAAAAGTCAACTTCAGATGAATTCAGGAACCAGGGTGGAATGTCTATCGTTCCAAATGTCTGAATTTGGTCAATATCAATATATGTGTTATGTAAAACAGTGGAAATTTGAATTCCAAATGGTCGAATGGTATTTGGTTTGTTTTGAAAGAAGGTTTTATAGTTTAGATCAAATACAAGTGAAAAGGAAGGATGTGAAGGATTTGACTTTAGCTGAATGGTGTATTGCAAAGCCAATTTATTTTGATGGCTATACAATGATGTTTCATTAGCTTCTACACAGAAGCTTGCTGTAGGTGTGGTCTTAAAAGCTTTGAGAGTGAGTCTGAGACCCTGGTGATGAACAGTGTCTAATAATTTCAGATATGAAGGTCTAGCAGACCCATACACAATGGAACCGTAGTCTTATATTGATCTAATGAGAGCTCTATAAAGTCTTAGCGAAACTTTTTTATCAGCTCCCCAACCATTGTGGGACACAACCTTTAGAATATTCAGTGCCTTAAGCCATTTGGCTTTAAGGCATTTTATGTGTGGAAGGAACAACAATTTCCTGTCGAATATTACAACTAAGAATTTGGTTTGCTCAACAACCGGAATGGGTACACCACATGTTGTTTCTGCATTTGACAAAAAAGCATACAAACTGTTTTTGATTGTGAAATTTTTTGTAGTCAATTTAGGTACTGTTGTAGTTGTTTTTCGATGGTATTCACATGCTTAGATCAAAAGCATACAATGAAGTCATCAACATAAAGAGCTTCCTCCATTGAAGGGAATAATGATTTGACAATACTGTTAATTTTAAGTCCAAAAAGTGTAAAGGAGAGAATGCTGCCTTGTGGTACACCCATTCTCTGCTGAAAATAAAATGAAATAATACCTATATCATGCAGATCTTTCTTCATGCCCTATTTCCATGTTGTGCTGTACGCCTTTTTCAAATTGAAGAAAACAGCAACCAAGTGTTCCTTCTTTAGACAAGAGGCCCAAGGGGCCTTACCGGTCACCTGAGGAATATATATCAATAATCTGGGGGTTTTAAAATGTTGCAAAAATGTAACAACACTTGTGCAGGACCATGTGTAAAACATCTTTACCAAGTTTGAACATGACCCACCCGATGGTTCTTGAGAGGAAGTCCGTAATGTCTTAGCCAAACAGAGGCCAGGGTGGCCATCTTGGATTTTTAATCGCCCCAAAAAGTTAAAACAGGACCTTGTGTAGAACATTCGTATCAAGTTTCCCCTTTTTCCTCCTCTTGTGGCCCCTATTGGAACCACGCCTTTTTTCTTTGCAAACATGAAGCGGCTTCCCATGGGGATGCTTTGTGCCAAGTTTGGTCAAAATCCATCTACTGGTTCTTGAGAAGTAGTCATTTAATGAAGGCTTTTACATATGTCCCCTTTTACACCCCTTATGGGCCCCAAAGGTGACATAATCACTTTTTTCAACA